AGGCGAGCGGTTGCGAGGCCGATGCAGGTTGATGGTAGTAGTGTGACGTGCAGCTTGGGAGGAGCTCGGGCTTGGGCGTGAGAGATCGGGCGAGGCACGCGGGGCGTTGGCTGCTACCGACGAGAGGACATGTCCGGTGTGGGGTCGAGGCGTTGTGAGCCCTTGGATGATATGACAGTGCAGATCTGATGAATGACTAGGGTTTTGGAATTTGTAATGTTATCTAGCTAACCTTTTCTGGAAAATGATGATAAATGAATATCGTTTTGCTGATATTTTTAGTTGTGACGTGTGATCAAATGATGGTAGTTTCTCTTTGTTTTGTTTTAAAAAATCTTCTTTGCAAAAGTTGGCATGCTGTTTTGAAAAAACTGGTAACCCTCAAATAACTAAAACTACCATCAAAACATACGTAAATGTCACCCCTCCCAGCGAACGTTCATCGGATAAGAGGGTCTTTTGAGATTGGAGACTAGGAAACCTAATTTGATCTATGAAAGCTGTCATTTTTGCTAGGGAGTGATCATTCATATACGAAAGGGTGGGATTGCTTAAGTAGGTTGTGTTAGATGGTTGGGCTATTTAGGAAATAGGAAAAATAGTCCATGACATTTCATTTAGCAAAAAACATTTATTTATTTAATTCACTACTACACCTCATATATTCAAGCGTTCAGGTATAAAATCGACTCCTATTCGGATGAAATTTGGCATGCGGCCTCGATATACTGTAACAAGACAACACGCAAACTTTTGACTCATTTTGAGAACATTTAATTCCAATTTGTAAAATAATTTGAATCGCATCGCACGATCATGTGCGAATTGTCTAGTTGGTCTCCAAGGAGAAGGTCAGATGACTAGGGGTACTATTCATGTTTATGGAGAACCATGAAATAAAATAGGGTTATAAGTTCAATAAAAACACCAGCATAATATGGTATAAAGGCAATGTGCTGCCGATGCAATGTTGAGGATGCCACGATGTTGCACAAACGATAATAATAGCCACTATAATAAGTAGGGTTACTTTCGGTTGTACAAGCATCGTGCGCTGCCGCAAATCTAGCTCAGTCCTCTGCGAGCCACGACGCTTTACTATTGCCACATCTAGCGCTGCCATGGGGACCCTTGGGGGTTGCCATGGGGACCCACCGACGAGCATGGTGTGACTACGCGAGGATGGCCTATGGCCAACAACTTCAACAACCTCGACTGGTGGCGTGACATTGATGTCCGCATGCGCGACGACCGCTATGTCTTGTTGCGCATTCTGTGTCAGGGAGGCACCATGCTTAAATCGCCAAGGCTACCTGCTCCAACCACCTGCATGTGGAGCTGGACCTGTGAGGGGAGCTCCTGCAAGCCCATGCCGTCGTGCGAGAACGGCGATGACACTATGCTACGATGGATGGTACGGAATATTGGAATTATCTTAGCCGCAGGCTGCAATTAGGTATGCCTGGAATTGCATTTGATGAGGGGTGGTTCTGGAACGGCGGTGACCTCTTGCTAGGACATACGGCGCAAGATGCTGGAACCGACCCCCGACGTTGCTACGATTATGCCACCCACGTGATGTAACTAGTGTAGAGAGACGCTTTGAGTATGGTCATGATGTGCTGGAAACGGCCTAACGATAATGTTGCAGTAGTGGCCTCTCTATGTGCTGGAACGAGCGTCGGGGGACGCTGCCACCGGGGTCGGCCCATGTTGCGACTAACATCGGGAGGACAAGATAAGTTGGACAAAATGCTACAATTAGGGTGATGGACCTTCGTGAGCTCGTTGTTGGGTGGTGTTACTAGTATGGCCTTGGGGGATGATATGAGCAAACCGCATGGTGCGATGAGCTCGCATAGTGGTGTGCTTTGTGTGCAAGGTGGAGTAGAGATATAGTTATGGGAGGGAATGAGAGTGTGCGACTACATGACTAAAGGAAAATCAAGGAAGGGTGCATCCAATGGTTGTGCGAGTTTAGACTGGACGGCTCAATTTTTAAAACGGAAGTTATTGTGTACGTAAGAGATGAAGAGAACATATATAGTTGGGCAATAGATTTATCCTTGGAAGAAACACTACAATGCCATCATTATAAAAGACTATAATACTATTTTGTCAAGAGGTAAGTTTTAATCTCAACCACTCATCTGCATCGAAGTTTTAAACCTTTTAAAAGAGGGTGTACTAAAGCACATGTCATACTCTGCATGCTTGGTTGTATGGCTCTCAACTGTGTATTCACTTGGTAGTAATAGTTGGCACTTCTTTGTCCATGATGTTGACTTTCTACTTTCTCTTTTCAATATCTTCAATTGATTTTGAATAATATAGGATGCTGCTTCATGATCTCTTCAGTGTGCTACATTGCAGTCGTGTTGGATATTGTGCCTTCCTTCTCTTTCAATCTTTTCTTTTATTTGTGTTCTGTTGAAAATATGTTGTTAAAACCTTGAAAGACCATCTGATGCTACGAAACTTCCGTTTTCTGAACAAATGTAGAGCGTGGGAACAAATTCAATATATTTTAGTTAAATAAATAAGAAATAAATCATTTCTCATATTTCTCAAGTACACTTACAATTGGGGGTTACCTAGTATAATCTATTATTCTTAGTGAAGATAGTGGGTGCTAAAAATCTTAGTGAAGATTAGGTGTTAGGAAATAGGGAAAAGAGGGTATTAGTGGCTGCGCTTAGTGAAAAAACTAATTACAGTATGAAAAAGGTAGGTGTGTCTATAAGTGTTCCATTCTTCAAGTGTTATCTCCTGCCATAATGCAATGTCATGACCTGGTTCGTGCTGGGCGAGCCAGGGACTCGCAAAATTTCTGCATCCTCTGCTGGTGGGGGCCGCCAAATAGTGTCTCGCACGTGCCGCAGTGTCATCACCGGGAGAAGGTTGTGACCTCGACAAGTAATCTCTAACTGCATTTGATACACAGATAGTTCATGTCAATGTGAATTTGCGGGGATGCCACTATGTTACACTTGTTTAAGCAGCAAGTTAGAGTATCATTTACGCCCAAGAAATTTTACAAATTAGAATTTTTATCATGATTCAAGAGATTTTGTTAACGAATGAACTCTTTACTTATGATGCCGCAAAATCTCGGTCAAACAAATCTTTCCAATTTAGTTATGTAGATGGCGGGATGCTAAAAATCTGAAAGGGTGATTGATTTATTTCCTACACTACAATTTTTTATCTAGTAGCGGTCGTGATATTAGTTTCCACTAAATGGTCTAAGCGGTTGAAAAAACAAACATATACCTGAAAGATCAGACACGAGTTGTTAAAATGATCCTTCACATTAATCGACAACGTGATAATGCATATTTGGATTACCTCCCCCCGCCAATGTTTCTAAGAGAACTTGAAAAGGTTGGGACATTTAAATGATTAGGTTCCTTGTGGTAAAATTAGTTTACCCTTCTTTATATTCTAGACTTGGCGTGGTTGCCCACATATTTCACTTATTTAAGTTCTAGACTTGGCGTGTCTGCTTGCATATTTCCTTATTTATTCAGACTTTTCGACACTCTTCTTTCAATGGTTTTACTAGTCCCTCAACTATGAGGTGCATGTCGTGCCTTCATCAATCTCAATATCTATTTATGCGGTCTTTCATATATGCTCATAGAGGTGCATTCTGCATTCGTAGGGATGAGCGTGTATGTTGGTCTATGTGTGTTTTTGTTTGTTTGTTTGCTTGCGTGTGTATATGTGTGTGTTGTTTGTGTCTATGTCTCACTATGTTTCCAAATAAAAACGTCTTGACATGCTTGCAACCAAATTTTAAAATATGCCAACATGAAAATGGTGATAAATTTTTTATTTTCATCGAAAGTAGTTCGGTGTAATTACACTTCTAATGATTTTCTATTGCTTGAAAAATGAAGGTCCCAATGCACTCTGTTGATATTCTAACTGTAGTTTGAACTGAAAATGTGCCGACGGATATGTAGATTGTATTAATGCATTTGAAGTTTCATGTTTCCAAATTTATGGACTCAAATACTAGAGTACACAGTTGCACGATCAACAACTGGTTTATAAAGCTCGATGTTATACCCTAAATGTGATTAAAAGACTAGCTAGAAACAGCTGCAATAAAGAAAAAACAACAATGTCTAGCAAAGTTCATCACAACCAAATGTTTGGCATACATGAAGAAGGGAGTAATGATTGTAAAATACAATAATTATTTTGTAGTGATGCATTCATAGCTTCCTCTAGTTGTGATTGCGTTCCCAGAAACCGCTTAATTATAGATGCACTTTTCTTTTGAGTTGGCGTGCAAAAAAGGTAAATCTCAAAAAACAAGTTGGAAACATACAATTGATAGAAGCACGGGGACAATACTATTTTGTGATTGACATGTGTTTGTTAAGACGAAGACATCCATCTAATCTTCTGTATTTCTTCCATGGTTCACTATTGGATCCAACAACGGCGGCGCTTGCATGTCATTGATACGTCTATCTATAATTTATGAAGTATTCATGCCATGTTTACAACAATTTTATATGGTTTTGGTATGATTTGATTAGAACTAACCCGGATTGACGCTGTTTTCAGCAGAACTACCGTGGTGTCGTTTTTTATGCAGAAATAATTAGAATGTGCTGAAAATTTACGGTGATTTTTCATAGACCAAAAGAGACCCCCGAAGCATGAAAGCTAGGCCAGGAAGTGGGCGAGGAGTCCACAAGCCCTCTAGGCGCGCCCTACCCCCCAGGGAGGGTTCTTCGGGCTTGTGGGCCCCTCGGGCACCCCCTTGACGTGAGAACGATGCCAAAAATTCTTATAAATACCCAAACCTTCAAAAAGAACCCTAGATCAGAAGTTCCACTGCCGCAATCCTCTATAGCCATGAAAAATCAATCAAGGCCCTCTCCGGCACCCTGCCGGAGGGGGCCATCATCACCGGATGCCATGGAGGAGGAAGCCGGAGGGGTCTATCCTCACCATGGAGGCCAAGGACCAGAGGGAGAACCTATCCCCATCTAGGGGGAGGCCATGAAGAAGGAAGCACAAGGGGGAGACTCTATCGCCCTCTCTCTTGGTTTCGCTGGAGTGCCACTAGGGGAACCATCGCCGTGGTGATAGTCTTCATCAACATCACCATCTTCATCACCCTCCTCATCTCCTTTAAGCGGTCCACTCTCCTACGCCCCGCTGTAATCCCCTACTTGAACATGGTGCTTTATGCCACATATTATGATCCAATGATTTGTTGCCATCCTATGATGTTTTGAGCAGATTTCTTTTGTCTTTTGGATTGATTGATGATCTAGATTGGTTTGAGTTGTATATTTTATCTTGGTGCTATCCTATGGTGCCTTCCGTTCCGCGCACACGTGAAGGATTCCCGCTGTAGGGTGTTGCAATACGTTCATGATTCGCTTATAGTGGGTTGCTAGAGTGACAGAAGCTTAAACCCGAATAAGGGGGTTGTTGCGTATGGGATAAAGGGGACTTGATACTTTAATGCTATGGTTGGGTTTTACTTTCATGATCTTTAGTAGTTGGCTTAGATGCTTGAGTATCCCTGAACAAAACCCAATCGCTTGTATATATCCACTGAACAAAACAAAAATCGAGAGATACCAATAATTGTTTTGGATTTAGGATGATTAGATTGCTTGTTTGCTATGTGCGGTGCAAAAACAGAAACTTTGGCTACAGTGCGTGAATTTACATTTTTTACTGGAACCTCAAAAGTTTCTGAAATTTTTGTACAGTACTGCTATAATTTTTTTGTCCTAATTTTCCCCAATTTTTGGAGTTACATAAGTATACGAAGTTTCCATATTGCTACAGGTTGTCCTATTTTTGACAGATTCTGTTTTCTATGTGTTGTTCGCTTTTTTTATGAATCTATGGGTTGTATCGGGGGGTAGGATGCTAATATTAAATTGAAATGAATTTACAACAGTACCTAAAGGTAGTGATTTGCTTTATTATACTAACGGATCTCACAAGGGTTTTTGTTAAGTTTTGTGTGGATGAAGTGTTCGAAGATCGAGGAGTTATTGATATAAGAGGAATAAGAAGAGGTAAGAGTTCAAGCTTGGGGACTCCCAAGGCAGCCCAAGTAAATATTTCAGGGATACTCAAGCATCTAAGCTTGAGGATGCCCCGGTTGGCATCCCATCTATCTTCTTCAACAATTATTGGTATCTCTCGGTTTTTGTTTTGTTCACATGATATGTGTCTTTTGTGTTTGTTTTTTCTTTTCCTTTATGCACCATGCTAGTATGAGATAGTTCTTCATTGATTTATAGAATTCTTCATGTGCTCCACTTAAATCTTTTGAGTATGGTATTATAGAATGCTCTTTGTGCTTCACTTAAATCTTTTGAATATAGCTTTATAGAATGCTTCATGTGCTTCACTTATATATTTTGAGCTTGGATATTGGTCAATATATATTGATTGTAGAATGCTCTATGAACTTCACTTATATCTTTTAGAGTATGAACGAAATTATCATCGGAATTGGGCTTGGAAGAGTATCATTAAAATATCATGCCTAGCTAAAAAGGCATTAAACAAAAGCGCTTGTTGGGAGACACCCCAATATTTACCCCTAATGTTTTTGTGTGTTCTAATGATTATTCTACTGTAGTAATCATGTTCTATTGCTTTTTTCAATAAAGTGCCATGTAAGACCTTTGGGATGATCTATGGTGATAGTTGACTTGATTCTGTGCAAAAACAGAAAATTTTGCGCTCATTGCCAGAATTTTAAAAAATCACAGATGCGTGATTTTGATCCAATTTTTTTACACAAGATTGAAATACATATTTCCTAGGTTCTCCTAACTTTTCAGAATTTGTGGAGTAACAGAAGTTTGGCTAGTATTCAGATCATTACAGACTGTTCAGTTTTTGACAGATTCTGCCCTTAATGCATAGTTTGCTTGTTTTATAGTTTCTATGGCTTATATTGCTTAATATAAATTGTGGAAATTATAGAGTACAGTATGAATTATATGGAAAAAATTATGAATCTTGTCTTTGACAGTACCCAAGTGAACGATTTGTTTTATCATACTAACCCATCTCACAAAGTTCCGTCAAGTTTTGTGTGATTGATATTTTCAAATTTTGGGTGAGATAGCTATATGAGGAGAATAAGGAGTGACAAGACCCCCTAAGCTTGGGGATGCCCAAGGTACCCCAAGATAAAATTCAAGGAAGATACAAGCAACTAAGCTTGGGGATGCCTCGGAAGGCATCTCCTCTTTCATGTTCAAAACTATCGGTATGCCTTACTCGGAGCTATATTTTTATTCGTCACATGATATGTGTTTTGCTTGGAGCATATTTTCATTTTACTAGATGCTTGAATAAAATATTTTGGATCTAAACCTTGAATGAGAGAGATTCCTCACATGGCTATTTAACTACTTGACTACACATTGATCTTCACTTATATCTTTTTGGAGTAGTTTTGTCATTTACTCTCGTGCTTCACTTATATCCTATGAGTAAATGGTTGAATGAATTGAATATCATAAATATTAAATTATATATTTTTTATATGCTTATCCCATGGGGAGTAATGACTTCACATATATGAAGTATAGGTGGTAAAAAAATTATTGAAAGTTAGCAAACACCGCATTGGTCACTTGAACAATTCATGAAAGAATATTGAAGAACGAGAGATTTCATATATAATTATACTATCTTGGACATCTTCTATGATTGTGAGCCCCATTAATTTTTTTCACACTTGAGCAAATTAGTTGAAGTTGGACAAGGAAGACAACGTAATGAGTTATGTTTGGGTATATTTGTATAGAAGTTATATTGTTATGGAACCTCCAACATGTGGTGCTTGCTTAGGATCTTTTGCTAGCCAAAAAATTGTACTAAGTAGAGATACTACTTGTGCATCCAAAACCCTTAAACC